GGTAGACATCGCGGTTGGAATTATCAAAGGTTTTTGACACCTGAGAGACACCGTAGCGTTCGGAAGCGGGGGGTGGGGGTGGGGGGAGGACCAGGGAGGATGATTCAACCACTCAACCACTAGATGTCGCTGAAAACAACAAATCCTACACACTGTGCCTTAAAGTCAAAACTTTTAATACGATGCTCAGATATATGTAATATTTAACACGCAAAGTATCTGTTGAGGACGACTCACAGCTACTACCACACCGAATTTTAGCCTAATGCTGCTGTAAGATTCACAGATTTGTAGCCATTTTTGTGTTGGGTAAGGCTGCTGTGGTGGCCGTCTTGAAAAAGGGTGGACTCCAAAGGTTGGAGATGTCCATTCATTGACTTTTTCTTAGATTTTCATTAAAATCCATTGAGTGGTTCACGAGATATTTTGCTATCACTACAAACAAACACACGCTCACAAAAAAAAAAAAAAAAAAAAACTGGTATAAACATTATGGCCTCTTTGCCTTTGTTGGCTTCCACTCTCACAGCTGCATTTCAGGCGTTACAGGAGTTCAGTGTTCTACAAACCTTTGAGTCTGTTTGTTTTACCTCGCGGCCTAATAAAACTGAACCAATTAATTAAACAGGAACAAAGATAGGGAGGAGTCTACAGCACATTTCAAACATGGTCAAAACCGGAAAGAAAAACAGGACTGATGTGAAACAAGTTCAGCCGAACAATGATCTAAATAAGAACAATTAAACAGAAATTACAGAAGCCGTTTACACCGAGTGGGAAAAAAAAATTAATGACTGGATACCAAGTAAGTGTGACGATTTTCAAATTCAAGCTCAAGAGAAGAACAAAGAACAGGCCTGACAAAAACAAACCAGGAAGCAGACAAAGGAAATGCCACAGGAGTGCAGAACACACAAAAAAAAGGCAAGCTAAACCAAAATATAAAATTAACTCTGAATCACAAACAATGTATTAAATAAGATGGTTAAATAAACAAAAAAGCACAGCCTCCAGGACCATAACGGGAACTTTCTTTTTAGTAAAATGCTGTTTTATTTTCACGTTAAGAACCAGTCTAAATTGATAATTAACTAAAGAAGAAAAGTCACAGTGAAAATATAGGATCATAAATGTTACAACACAACCAAGTCACCTCTCTGTAAGAGTTATACTGATCTAGCAGTTTGTTGTTGACATGCTGATTCAGCACTCACACTTGTGTTTTCCTGTTTTATTTCTGCATATTTTCAGCTGTTTAGTGGATAAAACATTGAGCTCATTCAGGAAGCGGGTGCTATGAATTTAGGTTCTTGTAACTAAAGGTTTTGAATTTATTTAAATATTTACCAACATGTTCCCATACTCTTCAGTTTCTTTGAAAATGTTGATTTTTATACAATATCTGCTTCAGCGTGGTTGTTCTGTTTTTTTGTTGTTGCTGTATTTAGTTTTTTAGCCTTTTGCTAAAAATTGAGCCACCTATCTGTGAATTTTAGTTTTTAGGTAGCCTTTAGCTGGTATTTCGGAATGTTTAGCTTTCTGCTAGTGTGTTTTGCTTGTTTTAGCTCTTATTTAGCCTTTTGCCATGTTTAGCTTCTAGCTGCTGTTTAGCTACATTTAACTTTAATTTAGCCTTGTACTATGTTTAGCTTTAAGCTACTATTTTTCTACTTTTAACTAGCATTTTTAGCTAGCATATTCAGGTTTTTAGCTATGTTGCTAGATTTAGCTTAAACATGTCAGTTTCCTTTTTTACAGAAAAATGCGATTTTGCTAATTTTTTAGTGTCTAGAAGTTTATTTCTGAAAATGAACATAAAATCTACCTTTTTTCCTCTTTAAGTAAAAAATTAACAACAAAATGTTATTTTTTTAAAAAAAGTTATTCTTTTGGGAAATGCGAACGAATCCCATAATATTGTTTTTTTTTGTGTGTGTGTGTGTGTGTGTGTGTG